ATAGTGTCATATCTTATTAGAACTGAAGGGGTAATGATTTTTCAAAATTTTGTAACTTTGATGTAATTTATAATTTTGTCTTTTCAAACTTTAATATATTTACTTGTATATTTACAATTTTAATCTCTCATTTTTTTTTAAATTTTATAACTCTCGTATAATTTATAATTTTATCTTCACAAATTTAATGATTATTTTATATATTTATTTATATATTTATAATTTTATTTTTTTATCTTCTTATTTTCTTTCATTTTTTTAAATTTTTTTATTATTTTTTAATAATATATTATAGAATCAATAATACGTTGTGTATATTTTTTTCTCATGACCTAATATATTTTTAAAGATAAAATATTGAAAGGATTATTTAAACCTAACTAGACTATTATATATATATATATATATATATATATATATATATATATATATATATATATATATATATATATATATATATATATATATATATATATATATATATATATATATATAAAGGGATAGGGTAGATACGAATTAGATTTTCATTCAAATGATTTCAATATTTTTTTTTGTTTTTAACAATTTGATCCTGTTTTTTTTTTTTATCAATATTATTTAATCACCAACTTCATTTAATAAATTATTTATGCCACGTAGGTGTGGTGGCAGCGCATGGGTTGTGTGTATGAACTGGTGGACGTTGAATAGATACGTATCATGCACCACATAATTATTGGGACCATACGCGGACGGTTGAGAAAAAAAATGTTTTTTTAATTAAAAATTAGAAAAACATGTCAATTTTTTTTCCCGCAATAATGTAAGAAGATGATGCATAAAAAATTAAAATTATTATTTTATGAACTAAAATTATATTTTTATATATATAAAATGACATACGAGCCATATATTATAAAAATTACGATATTCCAATTAAAGTGACTTTGAATAACATATTTATCACATGTTAGTCATTTGAAATATATATATATATATATATATAATTTAATTATAAAACGTTTTTATATAAGTTTTGAACCTTTTATTTTTTAACTTATGTGAAATTATTGTTTTTTATTTATTTCTGTTAAAAATATAAAAAAAATCGTTAAAATAGATGCTAGATCATAACTAATCATGCTTATAAGTAGTGATAAATTAAATAATTGATATCACCTTAGTCTTATAATTATTTCTATTTTTTAATATGTGTGGTTTAAGTTTTTTTTTCTAAATATTTATTTTATGGTTTATAATAAATTTGATAGTTTTTCAATAATATCTTTATATTTTTGATATTTTATTTATCAAAATTATTTATAATAAATTTTTATTTTTCATTTTATAATAAAAACAATTAATATAATCTTAAACGACATAAATAATAAATAAATAAAATATTTTTTAAATTGAGAACTAAAGAAAAAAAGAGTGAGACTCGTGTAATTTTAGTTTGTTTGTGTGTCACTGTCATAAATGTGTGTTAAACATTTTCTAACTTTCTATATTCATTTAAATTGGTATATTTATATATTTATATATATATAATTAAATATTTATTTTTTTAAATTATTTAATTTAATAAATTATTATAAATTAATCTAATTATGATTAAATTAAATTATTAAATAAAAAATATTTTATTTTTTAATTAGGTGAATAATTAAATTATATTATATAATTTTACCGACGGATATATTCGTCGGTAATTAATTGTTAATTTATCGACTGATTTACCGACGGATATATTCGTCGGTAAATTCATTTATAAATTACCGACGGATATATCCGTCGGTAACTAATTATTATTTTATCGACGGATATATCCGTCTGTAACATCAAATTCCACAAATTTTTATATTCGTCGGTAATTTCTATTGGTAATGATTATTTTCCGACAACTACAAATCCATCGGTAAATATCCGTCGATAATACATGATTTTCTTGTAGTGATATTGCTGGTGCAATTTATATTAAATTGAGTGTTTAATATAAACATCAAGTTATAAATCTTCACAATATTCACAATAGTACATTTTTATTAGGAATGTTTTAAGTTCACCATAGAATAATAATAACTCTTGAATACCAATTCAATCTAATTTAATGAAATTATAATTTAAGAGTAATAAATTTTAGTTGTAATAGTAATGAATGCAAAAAATAATTATATAATTTAACCAAAACATAGAAACAATTCAATTTAGTTAATATTTACATATTTGTATTTTATTTTATTTTAAATAGAATCCTCTCTACAATTTTATATGTTAATTTTATTTAGTAATTTTAGACTTACTTTTTAAAAAATCTATCATCTATGTCATCTACTTCTATATAAAAATATAATAATAATAAAATAAAGAAAAAAATTATAAAATTAGTTGGTAATTCAAAATAAACTATATAAATTAAATCTACCATAAAACATCAATTTACGTACAAATTCATCAATTACAAAGTTATTGTATCACTCCAAGTTTCTAAGCATAAATCACTTGTATCACTCCTAGTTTTTAGGTATACAATACTTTTACATAAATCCATTATTCAATCAATATAAATTTAACACTTTTCAAAATAGTAAGCATTAAATTGTTTTATATATTTTTTAAAGAATTGTATTATAATTTTAAAACAATGATTATCATAAAATTAATTGATATTAATCAATATATAATTCTGATTAAATAAAATAAAAAATAGGTTCACCAGTTAAGATAGATTCACTTGGACTTGAAATTTATTTGATTGAATTTTATTAAATGTTAAAAATAAAAGAAAATTTATTAATTATAATATTGAAGTCTATATAAGAAAATATTATGGAGATAACTCTTATTTATATAGCTTTTATAAAATATTTTAAGTAATAAGTTATACTTATTTTAATGTTATTTAATGTGTGATATTTTGTTGTTTATATCCTATTAATTTGATACATTATTTTATACGTTATTATTGAATTAATGTGTGTTTAATAAAATGATACAAGAGAATCTTCTCATTTATATTATATATTTAGTATCAACAACTACTTTTTTTTTTTACATTTTTTTATCGATTATATTTTATTTGAATTAATAATCGTGAGTTTAATTTATAATAATGATTAACGTGTTCAATGAAAATTATTATTAAATTATTCAAAATAGGCAAATATTTTTTTAACTATATAGGGACAGTCAAATTCACCTTATAAGTGGAAATTTTTGGATAATAACACTGTTTTATATTTGTGAGATAATATAAAGTATTATGACATGCAGTGGAATCATTATTAGGACGTAGTATATGCTCCAATAATTATTATTTAAGAATTATAAACGTATTAAAATATAAATATTTTAAATAAATATGCAAATTAAAAATTTCTTTAATAATGAAAACAAAAGTAAAATACCTTTCTTATAAGAAGTGAAATTAAAAAAGGAAATCTTTATGGCACCTTTTTTATTACCTAATCCGAAAGGTTCAAATTAATTATAAAAAAGAACATGTTTTATATTTTTAATTGTGACTACCTTCATTCAATTGTTTTTAATTTCTATTCAGTTTTGGTCTAAATCTAGATTAATTCAAAATGTGAATCAATCACCTGCATGGAAAGAGTAATATATAATTGTTAACATAAAACAAGACATTAGTCTAAATTAACTTATTTAATTGTTTATCTTAACACCAAAGTTTTAATTATATATTTTGTGAATTTTATTACGTACTAAACATTAAATTTTATCATTTGAATTTTAAAAGTATATATTATTACCCTTTGTTAATTGATTGATAAATTAGTAAAGATGTGATGATGTGACTAAAGTAACATTATTTTTAAGAGTTTTAGGTTTAAGATAAGGTTTGTGAAGATCACAGGCTAACATACTCCCTTAATATGGAACCCATTTTAAATTTATATACCAACCTACTCCTCTAATACGAGTCTCGTTTCTTAAAAGGGATTGGATAATGATCATCATCGTAATGTTCTCAAAATTAAATGCTCATAAGAATTACTCAAATCTCGTGAAAATGGATTCAGTCGATAAAAAAGGAGAACAATAATTAGTTTTTAGTTTTATTATATTTATTTACAATATATTTATACTTATTAAAACTATGATTGCAATTTTAAATTATAACTTTTAATTATATGACTATTATAATTTATTTATAAAAATTATGAATACAATAAAAATCATAAAAAAAGTCATAAAATGTTTAAACATAACAAAAATCATAAAACCAAGTAATGAATATTAATATAATTTACTTTAAATTTTATATTAAATTAAAAATAAATTAAACCAAATCACATTTATTTTATATTAAAAGTGAAGTGGTAAAATTTGCGAAGGTAAATTTTACAAAACTAAAAAAAAAAAAAGGAAAAAAAAGTTAAGCGAAAAGAAATCATGAAATCGAAAATTAAAATTAATAAAATTTGCAAAATTGTAAAACTTCAATAATAAAATATATAATTTAAAATATAAAACATATCAACCACTTCACATTTTATGACATCATATCATTAATAATTTGACAACCAATTTACATGAAAAAAATATATATACATAATTTTAGATTTTTGATAAGAAGTTGAAATAAAATTTGAAAACATAAAAAGTTTAGTGGTAAAAAATGGATGTTAATCCTTCTGTTTTCAAATATGATGGCTCACAATAAATTGGAGGGAAAGAGTGATATAAACTGTTTGGTCCCTGGCCATTAGTAATGTAGTCCCCATATCATCCTTGCATTATGGAAGAATATTTTTCTTTCTTTCTCTCCCCTTATAATACCATTTCTTGTGGTCTATATCTTTTGTATTGTATCATATCTGTGAAACTTCTGCAAATATCGGAAGTTTGTTGAACCTTTTTAAGTAGGAGACATATAAGCTCTACACCACCAACACAATACAGTGGGTTTCCTTTGTTTTTTCTCCTCCTATATTTCCCTCACTGAGATACAACTTTCACCACCAACACTATTATTGCTCTTAGCACCTCACTTCCTCATGCCGCAGCACCAACCAACTGTGATGGAACCTGCTCTCAGCTGCAACAGTGGCAATGGTAAAGGCAACTGTGACTATGATGTCATAAGCTGGTTTGAAGATGTATCTCAGAACGCTGGTTATGTTCAGACTCAGTTGCTGTGCCAGATTCTGAAGCAAAACTATGGGGTGGAATATCTCAAGAAATGGTTGGGGAACTACAATATCCTTGAGATGGACGCATGTGCATTAGAATCCCTTTTCTCTTCTGTGGTTCCCATTTCCTCCCATGCTGACTTTGAGCCATTTATCCAAAGGATTGCAGATGGGGACACTGGTCCTTTACTCACTCAACAACCCATAACCACTCTTTCCTTAAGGTGCCATCACCTTTAGTTTTTTTTTTTTTTCACTAAAACCTTTTTCTCTTTAGGGGATAAAACTATTATTCATTATAGTGCTGGATTTTCTTTAATTTATGGCATGTTCATAAAATAAATAGGGATCGGAATACAGGACAAAAGGATAGAGGCCACATATGGCTCTCTACATAATATTCTGCCAGATTTCATTGGTTATATTTATATATGCTTAATCCATGGTTGTTCTAGTGTTTATTATTCATGACATGTTGAAAAATAAATAATTAATACACCATGAAAGTTTTTTATGCATTTTATTTATTTATTTTTAGTAAGTACTGTTTTTTATTATTTTTTGGTAAAGTATTTCTTTCTCTTTTCATGCTGAATGGAACTTATGGAAGGATCCCCTGCCACTTTCTGATAATTTTTTTCTTTTTTACTTTGAATATTGTTTTTTTCTTGGTATGCAGTTCTGGAACAACAGAGGGAAGGCAGAAGTTCGTACCCTTTACCCGCTACAGTGCACAAACCACGCTTCAAATATTCACCCTAGCAGCAGCCTATAGATCAAGGTGTACATCTTTGTAATATCTCCTTGTGTTCCTTATTTTTTTTTTTTTTTTTTTACTTACCTTTGTAGTGTTCCTAAACGCGTGATTACTTTAAAGCACATGTTAAAATTTTTTTCCTTATCTTTCCACTGTTTACAGGGTTTATCCAATAAGGGAAGGGGGAAGGGTCCTTGAATTCATATACAGCAGCAACCGGTTCAAAACAAAAGGAGGTTTAGCAGCAGGAACCGCCACAACACACTACTATGCTAGTGAAGAATTCAAAATCAAGCAGCATATGACCAAGTCATTTACTTGCAGCCCTCAAGAAGTGATTTCTGGTGGAGACTACAAACAATCCACTTATTGCCACCTCCTTCTTGGCCTCTTCTTCTCTGACCAAGTGGAGTTTATCACCTCAGCTTTTGTCTACAGCATGGTGCAAGCTTTCAGCAGTTTTGAAGAACTTTGGAGAGAAATTTGCAATGACATCAGTGATGGCACTCTTAGTTCTAGGATCAAGTCACCAAACATGAGAAAGGCTGTTTTGGACATCATCTCTCCAAGCCCAGATTTGGCTTCAAAGTTGGAAACTGCTTGCCACGAGCTCGAAGTGGTGGAGTGGTTTGGTTTAATTCCTAAACTTTGGCCAAATGCTAAGTATGTGTACTCCATAATGACAGGGTCCATGCAACCATATTTGAAAAAACTTAGGCATTATGCAAATGGGTTGCCTTTGGTTAGTGCTGATTATGGCTCAACTGAGAGCTGGATAGGGGTTAATGTTGATCCTAGTTTACCACCAGAAGATGTAACATTTGCTGTGGTTCCTACTTTCTCTTACTTTGAGTTCATACCACTTCACAGGCATGAAAACAAATTCTGTTCAGGAGCTGATGATTTCATGGAGGATAAGCCAATTCCACTGTCTCAGGTTAAAGTTGGACAAGAGTATGAAGTAGTCCTCACAACTTTCACTGGTATGCATCTCTCTTTATTTTCTTCAACATGGTTCTCTCAAATTTCCTGGTTTTGGACCTTTCGGAACGTAGTCATTCTATTATTAACCTCAAAATAATTGTACAAAAATCATTAAGTTCTGTACCATACCACGTCCCCTATCCTACAGCATTGCTCATTTCCTCGACCCATCTTTTCTCAGTTTAATGACTGAAATTTTAACATGACACATGGCAGAATTACTAGATTTTTGGAACAGCAGCATCTTTTGACTTTATATTTGCTAATAAATGCCAAGTAACTGCATGTAGCTACCTAATCTGTAAATTTGTACACGATGATATTTGGACAAGCCTAGAGTTACATGTTCATGAAAGTAGCATCGGGCTTCATGTGTGCCACATGTGTAAGCTAGCTGCAGCTTGAACATGTACCTGTCTAATATGGCTAGTTGCATCAAGCCAAAAAGTTTTTGGTGGAATATAGCTAGATGAACAAAACGGAGACTGATATATGATTGAAATGCATACAAATGGCATCATGAGGGATAGATATACAATACGTGCACTAGTGCAGAATATGGCTTTTACGTCACCCAATTGTCGTCGCATGCACGTATATTCGACGTAAATAAAACGCGGTGGCAATTTTGTAAATATGGGACAAAAAATTTACGTCGCACACCCCAATAGGAGACGTAAAAAGTCATCTTTTACGTCGCACCTGGGAGGCGCGACGTAAAAGATGGCCTTTTACGTCGCGTACAGGGGGACGCGACGTAAAAAGCCTTAGCTTTTTACGTCGCGCCCCCATGACGCGACGTAAAGGCCATCTTTTACGTCGCGCCTCCAGGTGTGACGTAAAGATGACTTTTTACGTCGCTTACTACACTGCGCGACGTAAAAAGTCTATTTTATTTCCCTCCCAGCCCACTTCCTCGTCTCGCGCAACCAGGGTTTTTGAGAACGACGACGAGAACAACGACAACGACTACCTCTCGCACACCATTTGCGAGCGGTTTACGAGTGAAAAACATCTACATTGTCGTGTCATTTGACGAACTTCATCTTTCTCCCGATTGGATTCGAGTTTGAAATCGGTTTTCGTCTACACTCGAGGTTAGTGTTCATTGTCATTGCTATATGTTTACATTGAATCCGTGATTGTTTTTGGGGATCTCAATCACGTTATAGTATGAATGTCTCCACTTGGATTGTTATTGGAATGCGGTTATTTGTTTATTTGTTTGAGTGCATTCGGTTTACACACTCCATTGTTGTTGGAACGTGCTTTGTTGTTTGTATATTAATTTTTTTTTACATATAATTTTTAAATCTTTAGGAGTGACGAAACTTTATAACATAATATGAATCGAAGTTGGATGAATGCACGTCGTATTAGTGAAGAGTACGAAAAGGGAGTTGAGGAATTTCGAAATTTGCTAGTGAAAATGGAAAAGCTATGAAAGGGACATATTATTGTCCATGTGTTCGTTGTTTGAATCAAATTCGTCATAAACTTGAGGATATACGTGATCACTTGTTTGTTTATGGTATTATTAAGAGTTATACAATATGGACATGGCATGGAGAAATTGCTGGGGAAATTGCCAATGGGATGTTAGAGTGTTTGGAATTGACAATTCCAGTGTTCCATTGTACATTTCCTTGCCCGATGCTTTAGAAATTGCTGGGGGAAATTGCATGTTAAACATTTCCATCATACAATTGTGGGCAATGTAAGTCATTTTCATTTATGTTTCTAAGATTATAATAATTATATTCAACTTATAATTAATTGTTTTAGGTACCTTGACAATTTGAGTGTGGAACAAGAAAAATCCGAAGTATACGGATTTATTGAGCCTCAATCCATCCAAAAATCTGGAAATACAAAGGTTGGAATCCAACAATATATGCAAACATGGATGAGTGACTCAAGAAGACATATATATTTGGCTCCATACATTGAAGGGTTAGTATTTTGATTTGTATTTTAATTTATATTTTTGTAACTAATTTTTATGTCATACAATGTAGGTCCCATTGGCGAGTTAATTGTAATCATACCCGGGATTACACCGTGGTATGGTTTTGTTCATTACATCGGAAACCGAGTCAAGAAATGAAAAGCTTATTACAAGGGTAACTTTATCTTTTATTCATTAATTATGTTTTTAAATTGTGAATACATATTGAATAATATATGACTTTTTTTCACTTAGAATCGTGTATCGGAACTAATGTTCTAAGTGGAAAACCTAGAACAAAGACATTGCAGTTCATTTATCCTAAGGTTAGAAACTTATTTATATAAGTGAATACCATAATTATTGTTTATATTTCAATTTTGAAAATAATATTATGTTTTTTTCATCATTTCGAGTGTAATAAGCAAAGCTGACTCGTTTGAATGTGGTTACTATGTAATGTATTGGATGAGAGCCATAGTTTGTGCGGGTTTAATTGATTCTTGGACGGAGGTAATTACTTTTAACATTAGTTAAGTTTATTTAACTTTATTCATGTTGCATGCTTACAAGAGTCAAATTCATGTTTCAGGTATTTCAAGATCCATCTCCATTACCAGAATCTGAGATTACGAAATTAGAGAACAATGGGCAAAATTTTTTGTTCTACAATTCTAGTACATTATTTTTTATGTTCTTGTTCATATTATATTGTGTGTATTATGTAGTTTAGTTTAGTTTGTATAGGTAGCTTAGTTTGTATAGGTAGCTTAGTTTGTAATAGATTTTTTAGTTTGTATGTTTGTATTATTTTGTTTTATTATGTAGTTTGAATTATATAATATTATATTTTTAATTTACTAGCAAAAGAAAACTGCTCTGGACTTGTCTGGTTGTAATTTTTGCGGGTTTTAGTTGTAAAACGAGTAAATAAACCCAATTTAAAAAAAAAGCGATAAATTTACGTCGCATATTGGTATATACTGACGTAAATTTACGTCGCATATACCAATATGCGACGTAAATTTACGTCGCATATACCATATGCGACGTAAATTTACGTCGCATATTGGTATATGCGACGTAAATTTACGTCGTATATACCAATATGCGACGTAAATTTACGTCGTATATACTTGTATGCGACGTAAATTTTCTGTTTTTTTAAATTGAAAAGGTTTTTACGTCTGTTTATTGTATATGCCACGCAAAATTACGTCGTATCTTCATAACTGACGTAAATCTACGTCGGGTAAAAGGGTCCGACGTAAATTTACGTCTCCCGCTTTTACGTCGGACTTAAATACGACGTAAAAAGCCCTAAATACCTGACGTAAAAGCCCCTTTTTGCACTAGTGGTGGACTGAAGTGCATTCCAATAATGGGCTTCACCAATAATGATGGATAGCAGTGCTGTGCACATGTATTTGTTTCAATTTTTTCTTTTTATAGAAATGAATTAACTAGTCAAACTACACATGCTAAATATTTTAGGTTAATATTGATCACAGTTGCCATATTGAACATATTTAGTTGAAGTTATATATTAAATTATAATTTCATAAAAGTTTATAAAAAATAATATTTCTTCCCACAAAACCTAAAAGTAGGTGCGCACCGACCACAAACAACCCACGTTTAATATGTTGGGCAAGTTGGGAGTACTTGGTTGCATTTCCATCGTTACTTTTTGCTGATGTTCCATCATCTCAGACTTTAATCAGGAACAAATTCCTTATTATAAGTTTGTCAGTTCAATCACGTTTTATTCAAAACTGAGATATTATTTTAACTGACTGAGCTCAGTTTCATGGAGACCAATCAAATGGCAGTAAAATTTGTACAAGTGAAGTGAAAATGCAAAATATATTGTAATTTGTAATATAGAAGTAAGCTTGGTGGTTTTGGTTTTTTTCTAATAATGTAGCTGATATTTGATGAAACTAGACGAGTTGTTAAAATTATGGTTTTGGTGAGGAAGCAAATAAGTAACCATGATTGACATTTGATTTCAGGGCTGTACAGGTGCAGGTTAGGGGATGTGGTGGAAGTGGGTGGTTTCCACAATGGGACCCCAAAGTTGAACTTTGTGTGCAGAAGAAAGCTAATTCTGACGGTAAATATAGACAAGAACACAGAAAAGGACCTTCAGCTAGTGGTAGAGAGGGGGTCCCGTATTCTGAACAAGGCAAAAGCAGAGCTGGTTGATTTCACAAGCTATGCAGATGTCTCAAAGCAACCAGGGCACTATGTGATTTTCTGGGAGATCAAAGGGGAGGTAGAGGACAAGATCCTTGCTGCATGTTGCACTGAAATGGACAAATTGTTCATGGATCATGGCTATGTGGTGTCAAGAAAAACCAACTCAATAGGGCCCTTAGAGCTTTGCATTTTGGAGAGTGGAACTTTTAGGAAGATTTTGGACAACTTCATAGCAAATGGGGCAGCCTTGAGCCAATTCAAGACCCCCAGGTGCACCAATAATCGTGCCCTCCTTAAAATTCTAAACACGTGCACCACCCAAAAGTTTCGTAGCACAGCTTACAACACTTGAACAACAATGATTGATGCATATCATCTTTATCGTCATCATCAAGAATCTATATTATTTTCTTACTTTCCAAAATTTTTCTGCTTTTTCTTTCAATATATATGACTTGATTAGTACATTTGATGCAACCTGCTATACTACTATATATAGCACTGTTCTAATTTCTAACATGCCAACAGAGTCTTGTGAGAAAATCCTCGTTCTGACATTTGATGCTCAATTCTTTTCTAAGTTAAATTTAACTTGTCAAAAAAATTATTTTATTTTTCTCCATATAAACCCTAATCAATAGTTGAAAAATCAAGGGTAGTTATCGCATTAATTTTTTTTTTTAATTTGTGTCAAAACCTTTAAGAAACCACTTTTTATCCGGGGGGGTAAGAGAGTAAGATAATATTTTAGCCTCTTTTTTATAAAGCTTTGAAGTGTTAATCTCCAACCAATGTTCCTTAATTACTTGAATAAGTGAGTCTAATTACTTTAATCTGCTTAGATTAATCTTATTAGTGGTACATATAGAAACCTCAAGGGTTTCAAGGTGTCTTCTTTTTTACCACAATACTCAAATCAAATAATCAAGTCACACTAACTTTTGGATCACCAACAAAAATATGCCACCATTTTGAAGTAAAAAAACACCAACTTCCAATAAAATTAATTCAAAAACCTAATATTTCATCATTAACCCAATAATATAGTTGCATATACGAACGTATATATTAATAACAACTACACAACGGCATAATCCTTGACCTAATTACATACATTCACCTAGTACAAAATCAATACAACACTTACTTTCATCATGCCCCATGCCTCCTGGACTTGTGCCTTCATTTCCTCCTAACTAAAACAAAAATTCAAGAAAAATGCTCCTTTGCCTTCACTATTCGACACACTTATGAGTTTAACTCATGTAAACAAAAATACTAGATCAACTCATGTAGGTGAAAAAAGGACAGTAAAATCGTCCAATTGCTTGTAAAATATTGTTGCTACCTTGATAAAAAAAAATATTAATAAATAAGAATATAGGAAAGTAGTGCTATTAATTACATTATCTCTAGAACATACATATTTAAATAATTGATGATAAGAAAGAAATTAATATTAAGCCTATTGGAATTCAATATTCTGATAATTTGCAATAATTTTAAACCTTCAAAAGCTTCATGTTACCAAAACATGGAGAGGCATAGTGTTTTTTGTGTTGGATCCCAATTAGGATGACCACAGGACGGGTGCAGATTTTTGTGTTACGAAAAATCTATCCGTTACTTGTCTTCTTACTCATATGCTATCCTTTTTAAAAATATATACATGATTTTTTTATATATATATTTGTGAGTATCCACGAATATTCATTAATATTCATTAAAAAATATATATATATATATATATATATATTAATATTTTTTTAGAAAATATAATTCAAATAAAATTAAATAATAAAATACTAATATAAATAAAATTAGTTCTAATAAATTGTAGTATAAAATTTTAATAATATTAATTTTTTTAAAATAGCTCTAATTTCATAAATTTACAAAACAAATAAAAATCTATAAAATGTATTTTTGAATAATTTTTTTAATAGTTAATGTTTTCTCACCAATAACTTTATTTGAAAAAATATTAAATAATTTTTTTAGCGGGTAGGAAATATGTGCGGATTGGATTCTGACCATCTTTTCCTACGATATAATTCTCATTCACTTAAATAAAAATATTTCTTAATCATAAATACTATATAATAATCTTATTTATATTATCATTCAATACAAAAAAAAAAGTTAAATATAAAAAGATTTTAAAAAATAAAAACACGAAACTATATAATAGTTTAAATCCTTATCAATAAATATATAGTTTAAATACTTATATCTATTCCTCATAAATATCCATTTAATATTCATAAAACACATTAGTTACTATTTTTTTCTTTTTCATCCCTGATCCCTACACAGCTAATAGACATGTTCATGTCTTACCGCAACACAGTGATTGAATAGAACAGCTTGAATTTCCAAATTTTAAATTAATGAAAGTAAGGTTTTGTGTCGTTATTAGTTGCTGCTAAAAGTTTATCATAATAACAAAAAAATGTTACACTAAAATTAATTAAATTCCTCTCACTCGACTTTTAGCTATTATTCAAAAGATTCTAAGGTGTTTTCTTATTTAAATACTCTTATTTGTTTTTTGTTGACCTTAGCTACAAATTCCATACAGAAAAGTTTAAACTCCAAAAGTTCGTTGACAAAAGGACTCAATTTGTAAGGTGAGTGTATTTACTGAACCAAGCTTTTCTTTTTGTCTAAATTCGTTGGCTTTAAATTCGACACACAAGTTTTTTTTGTTATTTTTTAATTCCATATCTTATCATAAGAAATCTAGATAACATATTTTTCAAATCGCCAACCAACAGTTGTACCACACCTTTGTTTTGTCGGTCACACATAATTACATTAAAAAATTCAACACAGACATAATTTTGATGTTACTGTCCCAATTTTCCATCTTCGATGTGGCGGCTAATAATTCTGTCGCATTCACACTAAAAAAAAAAAGTTGTAATCGTCAAAATTATTGCATGTTAAATCAGAGAAAATAGTGAATGGAGACACTCTTTCAATGCTCTCATTTTTAAAGTTCTTTTGTACAAACTATAAGTTACAAAAAAAAAAAAATCTTTATCCAAATATATTTTATTTTACTCACCTTATTTATGTATTACAATGTACACAAATTAAAGATTAGATTCAAAATAAGAGTATGATTAATAAAAATATAATAAAATGTTAGCTTGGTCTTTGCACACGATAATTATAGAAGCAAAAAATATTTCAAAGATTTATATTAAAAAAAAAAGAGTGGAACTGATATTTTTAATTAATTAATTTACTTTGTCTATCCTATAAAAATTGTACTTTAACCTATATTAAAAGCAACAATGAATATTTTATTTTAAAATAATTTTACTAAATTAATACAAGAAAAAAACTTTTAATTAATAAAAAAAATGGATACATCATTAATTTTATTCATTTTTATTTCTTTCCTGTCATTAATTATTCTCCTTACACTTAGTCAGCTCTTATAAAACAAACAACTTTCTACATGAATAATTTATATGTAATTACGTTCACACATTTAAATATTCTACCCCACATACCCTAATCTCTCTTTAAGTAAGCGACAATGATTTAAAGTTGTACTTATTCGAAAATTGTATTTATTTTCTTTACACAATTTTATTTTGTTAACTTGCAAACCAGTTACATACAAGTTAAAAAATACATGACACTTTAAAAAATAATAAGTAGTGTTCTCTAATAATAATATACACTACTAAACATTCTCATATTACATAAAAATATTTTTATAAAAAATTGTAAAAAAAATCCTACAAATTTAAATACTTTTTTACAAAAACATTTTTGAAGTAAAAAATTATTTAAAAAAATAACTAATTTTTTTAGTAGCGATATAAAATTCTTAAATACACAGCGACAATTTTAAATAATTTACACTATTATAGTAATTTTTGCTTTCGGCTTTTATAGTATTCATGATAAAATATGTAAATCTTAATATATAGAGTGACTTTTTTAATGTATAATTTTATTAGATGATAACTATTTATTTTTTCTATTACATAATAAAATTTTCATTGTTTTTTTCTTTTTAATTTTTTACTTAAAGAAATAGTGAAATGTATTTAATATGTTATGAACGAGAGAGTACTTTTGATATTACTTTTGAATTGCGTAAGGATAGAAAGAATATTGATTATTATTGAAATATTATATATAATTTTAATATATTATTATAATTAATTACAAATACAAAATGCATTTAACAATTTTATTATTCTTGTCTTGGGAGATAAATTTATTATTTATGATATATTAAAAAAATATTTTAATAACTCAAAATAATATCTATAATGTCAAAATTAGTATTTGAAAAGACATTAAAATTAAATTATTGAATTAAAAAAAAGAAATACATTAAAAATAATAAAAATCGTTGTCGATGATATTCTCAGAATTAACAATATTATTACTATATTTATAGATAAAATGATGATTTAGTAGATATAAACTGGTACATTAATTTATAAACTTCTTAAAAATGATAGGGTGGTAACTGTTCCAAAACTTATGATTGGTTTGGTTGATAGAATTTAATCTTATTGTGAGGTCTTGCAATGTAAACTAAATCAAGCAAGAGAAAAAAATTAATGGAATGAGAACGTTGCAAACAGATAAGATTATGAAAATAAGTCATTGATGTGTATGGCCACAAATTATGACAACTTAACTCACTCAGAGAAAGCTACTATTTCTGGAACACAAAAGTGAAAATTAATAAAGATAATTGTATCTTATATCATTTGGTTGAAACTACACACATAGTTTATATAATTTTCTTTAAACAATGACGAAGCTGCTAGCAACATGATTTCATCAGAATATACCATGAAATGTGAAGGCATAACAATGAAATTTTTTTACAGAGAATAGAATGATTTTGGATGTTATCCTTGTTGAACTGGTATCAATGTATAACCTGTTTAAAGATGGTAAAATATAAAAGTTATTTTTCGTATTACATGAATTTAGAGTGCTTATAATAACGTATAAATATATATATATATATATATATATATATATATATATATATATATATATATATATATATATATATATAATATTAGACTATATTATGTTATATTTTTATCTATACTAAATGTCATAAATAAATAAAAAATAGTATGAATTAACTTTAACTCCAAAAAATTTATGAGAATTTTAGATTTCGAGATAAATAATAAATTAGAATCGTATATTTTTAATTTATTATTAACTGTTGAAAAATCCTGAAGAATTATGATAAAACTTCTAAAAAAAATTAAAGAGATGTAAGAAAATTTTAAATTAATTAAAAATATGATAATATTATAACATTACAATATATAATTAAATAAATTTATTTTT